AGAGAGAGAGAGAGAGAGAGAGAGAGAGAGAGAGAGAGAGAGAGAGAGAGAGAGAGACCGAGATCTGGAGTCTCTTCCTCTTCTCTTTTTATAAGGTCACTATTCCCATCATGGGGACTCCACCCTCATAACCTCATCTAACCCTAACCTCCTCCAAATACCATCACACTGGGGGGTTAGGGCTTCAACATATGAATTTTGCGGAGTGGGCACAAACATTCAAACAGTAGCACTGATTTTATTTATTTATTTATTTATTTATTTAAGAATAGCTTCTTGATTTTTAGAGAGAGAGGAAGGAAGAGAAGCATCGATGTGAGAGCATGACATTGATCGGCTGCATCCCACACGCCCCCCACTGGGGATCAAGCCTGCCACTTGGGTCAATTCAAGTCCCTGAATTGACCGGGACTTGAACCTGCAACCCTTTGGTGCAAAGGCCGACGCTCAAGTAACTGAGCCACAGCACTGATTTTATAATATACAGTAAATGTTGATTTTCTTTATATACATACACACACATATATATAAAATTTCTATGTTTATTACCTGTTTCCACCACAGCTTGAGGGCAGGGGCCTCTTTCCATCTTGGTCACTGTTGGGTCCTCAACACACAGTCTGTGGCCTGGCTCGTAACAGGTGTTCAACAAACAACACAGTAGGTGCCACAAAAAACTTGTGAAATGCAAAGAGAACTTGTTGCTTCACAGGGGATAGATGTGTTGTGGGGCCCACAAGCCCCTTCCTGTTTGATCTGGTGACTGACCCCCACCGTGGCCACAGCTGGTTCACCCTTGAGGAGGAGGGTGTTTTACTGTGGGGCCCTGAATTCCTTGTCCCTCCCCACTCCTCCATGAGTGGAGCCACAACATCAGCTTCTCACCTGGGTCTCCATCCCTAGCCCAAAGTCCAGCCACCACCTGTGTTGCCCCTGGAATGTTCTCTAGGTCCTGAATTGATCCTGCATTTCACCATCACTGGCTTTTCCCCCCAGGCCTTGCCCATCCCCAGCCTCCATTGCCTTTCTTACCAGGGTCTGAGATATCACTTCATACCTGTCAGAATGACTATCATCAAAAAGACAAGAGATAACAAGTGTTAGCACTTAGCATAATGCCCTCAAGCTCCATCTATGTTGCCACAAGTGACAGGATTTCTTTCTTTTCTATGGCTGAATAATATTCCATTATATGTATATAATAGAATGTATATTTCTTTTTTTAATCCTCACTAAGGATATGGCTTTTTTTCATTGATTTTAGAGAGAGAGAAAGGGGAGTAGAGAGAGAGAGAAACATCGATGTGAGAGAGAAACATTGACCTGTTGCCTCCAGTATGTCCCCCAACCAGGGACCGAACCCACAACCTTTTGGCGTATGGGACAACACTCCAACCAAGCCACCCAGCCAGGGCTGGAATGTGTATTTCTTTATCTATTTATCCACTGATGAACATTTAGGCTGTTTCCATACCTTGGCTATTGTAAATAATGCTGCTGTGAATATGAGGGAGCAGATATTTTTTTTGAGATAGTGTTTTATTTTCTCTAGATATATTCCCAGTAGTGGAACTGCTGGATCATATGGTAGTTCTATTTTTATTTTTTTGAGGAACCTCCATACTGTTTCCCGTAGTGGCTGCACCAATTTACATTCCCACCAAGAGCGCAAGAGTTTTCCTTTTTCTCTACATCCTCGACAACACTCATTATTTCCTGCTCTTTTGACAATAGCCATTCTGACAGGTGTGAGTTGATATCTCATTGTGGTTTTAATTTGCATTTCCCCGAAGATTAGTGATGTTCAACATTTTTTATGTACCTGTTGGCAGTCTGCATATCTTGTTTGGAAAAATGTCTATTCAGCTCCTCCAAAAAGACATATTGAAGTCCTAACCCCGGGTACCTGTGGCTGTGACCTTATTTGGAAATAGGGTCTTTGTCAATATAATTAGTTAAGATGAGGATATATTGGGTTAGAGTGGGCCCTGAATCCAAGATGACTGATGCCCTTATAAGAAGGGAAGACAGCCTGACTAGTGTGGCTCAGTGGTTGAGTGTCGATCCGGGAACCAAGGGGTCACCGGTTCGATTCCCAGTCAGGGCATATTCTAGGGTTTTGGGTTTGATCCCCAGTGGGGGCCATGCAGGAGGCAGCTGATTGATGATGTTTCTCTTCTTCTCCCTTCCTCTCTTTCTAAAAATGAATAAAAACATATTTAAAAAAGGAAAAACGAAGGGAAGACAGAGCCCAGCTGGGGTGGCTCAGTGGTTGAGCATTGACCCATGAACCAGAAGGTCACCGTTTTGATTCCTGATCAGGGCACATGCCTGGGCT